AGCTAATAGCTATATGGTCAATCTGACTGCACGTCTGTGCCGAAGAGGGGTTAAGCCAGGTGGTGAGGTGACGCTTAGTGTCTGAAGTTCGTGCTAACGAGGAACAGACCGTGTTCTGAACATATGCTAAGAAGTCTGTCCCCATTGTCCGAACGTTCGGCTTGTCGTTCAATACACCTCAAACTGTCTTTGATCATTTACTCATTGCTTTTGCATGCAACTTCACCAATCTCTGTTGTGATAATGATCAAAAGCTGTGCCAAATTCACCCAAGTACGTTTATTTCGGATCAGTAAACCGCTGTACACAAAATCAAAGCGTCATCATTTTTGCCAACACAGTTATCCTAATTTTTGCTCATTCTATTTGTTTATTTTGTTTAGAGGCAGCTTGGGCCTGGACTTTGGTCCCTACATCCAAGGTAAATCGTTCACGCGATCTGTGTCTATCAGTGAGGCGGCTCCGTCAGCCTCAGTCACCGATTGCACAGTTCCCGGTGGTGGTGGCAATCAATCGTCATCATCAGTACCCGTGGTTGCCCGCTCGGCGAGTGGTGGCAGCGGTGCATCCGAGATTTCTCCCTCGCCATTCTCTTCCGCAACAGCGACCATATCCCCCGAGAGTCCACTTCCCGCATCTTCACTTCCATTTGCTCATCCATTCTCGCCTCACCCGGATCAGTCCGCCTCTTTGCTAGATCCCACAGCTCCCGGACTACAAACCATGCACAAGAACGACATGGGTCGACTTCCCATTTCCACTGTTGACGGTAACTCGGAAACCAATAATGCTGCAACGCAACCACCCACTCGACTTCGACCAGCTCGACCGGATATTCCTGAGTTGGTTGAGCTGCTCCAGCATTCGTCTAGTCACCGAACGATTAACTTACTGTCCCATTTACTGGACTCCAGACTACCAGTTGATTGGCGTGAGGCTCTTGTGGCCACGAGAACTACGGTGACACGACCAGCATCGTTAATTATGCCTGTGGCAGGCCGTGAATCCACTTCCATTTCGCCCAGACACAGTATTGGTGGTTCTGATCGCGCTGACTCGTCTGCCGTACGTCGACCGAATCCTCCCACACCTTCTCCCTCCGACGAATCGGTGTTGGTCAAGCGCATCAAATCCAATGATCATGAAGTAATTTTTGTAATGCGTTTCGCGTTTTCAGTTACATCAATATGTCTCGGGACCGTAGCAACATACAGACCACGGTTCGATTGATTCGATAGTCTTGAGCCTCCTCTGAATGATCACAAATGAGATTCAGTTCAGTTCAAAAACTGAATTTATTCATCCTAAGGAATGATGTTTCTCATCACAAAAAGCCCGTCGGTCTGTTTTCATCATCTGCAGTTTTCCGGGGTAGGAGCAACTTATATTCAGATATGTTGATTAAAAACATGTATTTAGTGAAACTATTGTACAGTGGATGGGTTAATTTGGCCAAACATTGTTGTAAAGTTTGACATATAAAGAAGTATTGTTTTTAAGTAATGCCTTATTATTGTAGATCGCGAGATATCGCCGAAACTTGATACAGCTATAGTAGTCCTACACAAACTCGTAAAGTAGAGCAGTAGTTAACCAATCTTTTAAGTAGATGATGCGGAACTTGTGAAGATTTCAGAATCTATTTGTAAGTGCGCAGATAGAGCCGGGTAAGGGGAACGGTTGCTCCAAGATACTCCACATTAAGCATTTTGTTGTTGCCACTGTCCTTTGGCAATTTTTTTCTTGTTACACATCTTAGCGTGGTGAACAGCAGACGGGGCGAACCCCATAGTCATGACGATCTGCTATTCAGTCATGGAAACTGGTGAAATGAGTCGCGGGACTTGGGGTGGTGAACCCCATAAGGCCCCGTTAGGTAAGGCGTGGAATTGAACCGGCCTACAGCAAATCTGCCTACCACCGAATTTGGGTGATAGTGGTGACGGCGGCGGTCTTCGAACCTTAGACCGCAGTTCCATGTTGCTGAAAGCGACTTTACCACTGCACCCTTAAATCTGAGTACAAAAAGAGCCAACTAAGTGCTGGAAGGAACATAAGTGAACGATCTAAGATGAGAATTATCAAGCTCGGCTAACTGAAACTAAAAACCATCAGAGACTGAGTTTTGATTACAGCCGCATCAGCATTTCTAATCTGGGGTTCATCCAAAGCCTTAGGCAAATGACAGATGTGGAAGGAAAAGAAGAAAAAGCCGGTGGTTGAGGAAGGGGCATTCTCTAATGAGTAGACAGCTTGTGAAGCTTTCCTCGGAAAACGGATAGTCCGTTCCGAGGACCAAAACAGAAAACGGTTTAACAACAAAAAGTAGCTCTCAATAATTTAAACTTTAGTTTACATCAGTTCATTTCTATAGTTCGCCCCTTTTGGTATCGGAAGTCTCACATTTACCGGGCCTCCATTTCAAACAACAAACTGATACACGCACTCCACACCATTCAAAGCTGCGTTCTTTTGGCATAGTCAAACTAGCAATGTGAATCTTGTACGAAATCCAGTGAGAAAAGATAGAACGAGAACGCGATTGTGGCAATATGCGTGCATTTCAATTGCTTTTGTGTCCCGATCGCCAACGTGAAACACAAATCCACCTGATTAGGTCATCTCATTCACCTGTGTCAAGGAGATGTGTCCTCCACAGCACATGCAGTTACGCAACCCAACTCCAATGCGAACGGGCGTTTGATAGAAACCACGCCTAACAAGTAGGAATCTCGTGCTCAGAAGCAGTTCATGTAAACCATAGGCCTTGCTCAGCACTAGTCAAGAGATTCAAATGTCTTTTGTCGCCGTTTATCTCTCGTGTGAGAATTGTTCTGTTTCATGTCAGCAACTGAAGTGTACGTGTATTGCAATATTAGCGTTCTTCTATTGTGAACTAGGTATAGGGGACCCAGTGTTGCAAACCTACCCATTTCGTTACCATAGAGGTGCTTGTGCACCATAATCTGCTTGCTACACTGTCCAAACGCCGACATATATAAAATGCAGATATGCTCATTTACATTCTAGATATGCAAGTGGAATCTAATTGTTTGTGTAATAAATCTTTGTTTAAATTTCTGTTTTTCTATCATAAACCTCGCATTTGATACCATCCACTTTCTTAATTACTCACCAAATTAGGATGGTCGTGGTTGCAGCTACGTCATAAGCAACTGTAATCGTTTTATCATGTACGTTTTCTGGCCAACCAAACTAGTTGACCTTAACTCATAAAAGGTTTGTCTACTTTCCAATGTTCTTCGGTTTTCCGCTCGAACTGTTGTGTATTAGAGGGAGTGAAAAATGGGATCTATGTTTTCTGATAGTTCTATTTAAACTGACATTCACTTTCTCTCTTATTTCGTTCCAGATACAAAAGTCCGTCGAGCCCATTTCATCTACCTCTACACCCTGCTCCTCTTCTCCACCCGGACATTCGGATCCCGTCCAATCTAATCAAACCAGTGTCCCATCCACTTTTATCTCCTTGAGATTGGCCCAATGTGTCTGTCGATTGGCTGATCACTTTGAAGCCCGTTATCGAGATAAATTGGGTGACCTGTTAGACGATGTAGCTCGCCTAAGCACATCCTCCCATTCCGCTGAAGAAACAGCCAGTTCCGCCCCCGATGAGGATGATGATGATCTGTCCGCTCCGGGGACCGCAGACGCATCGAGCCAACCAGGTGATAGCAGTAGCAACAGAGCTGAGATGAACGCGGAATCATTTGATGAAGGCTTAAGTAACACTTTTGAAAAGCAATTCCGACAACAACTCGAGTCCGCTCGCGTACGTTTTCAAAAAGTTCTGAGTGAACTGTTCGCAGAACGAGTGAATTGGGGTCGTGTGATTGCCATGCTTGCATTCATACGAGCGTTGTGCGTGTTTGTGGAGAGCCGGCGAACAATGCAATCGGCAACAAGTTCCAGTCTCTCTTCCGCACGGTCAGCCGTTCAACAGGTAGAGGTTAGTATCCCACTTCTATTCAGTTCTGATCTTTACGTTCAGTTTTTACAACCACTAAAGATGCACTTCCGTGCACCCGTTTTGGCTGATGACTGCCTATTTGGTTGAAGGAATGTTCAAATCAGTGCTAGAATAAAAATAGAATTTATGAAGACTAGGGTTGCGAAGAAATTGGGAAAGGATGCATGAGCCCCGCTGTTTACGACACTCAACCATATCACATCATATCAGGGCGGTGGTGGCCAAGTGGTTAGGTCACCAACTAGTGACCAGGGTGTCCCGGGTTCAAACCGCTCCACCGTCGCCCGTCTTCTCTATATCTGTCTTTTCCCCAGGCAGCTTTTGTATGACCGCAGCTCCCTTTCCTGAAAGTTAACTGTATATTCAATACATAGATCAAGGAAGTAAACGACATTTTATTTATATCACATTCACTGTATCTAACCATTGATTATAATGATCCTTAGGTTCCGTGCTCCTCACGTAAAGCTACTACAACCATAGACAGTTTTGTGCACTCATTTTGAAATTTCCTCGTTACGGTTAGTTAAGTCTGGTCGGTCAAGTGCATTGTGAAGAAAATCATTTGTTTCACGTGTAACCGAAATGCACATCTTTTCTGACAATATAATCGAGGCAAAAATCACGAAGCGTCAAAGCATTCAGATGCACAAATTTAAAATGATCTAACACCCCTGGAGCCACTGTTGCAACTACCCAGTCATATTGTCTGTCTGTCTTCTGACTCCGTTCCCGAGGACGGCTAATGGCAAGGCTATATATGACACATCCAAGGCGATTATGCATTTTTGGCCCTCTAGCTGTCGTGGGGTGATTTGCCGGTTCATTTTGCCATGCCGCCACAAGCGGTACTTGTCTTAGCAATGATACCTGTACTGTGAAAGTGTTAAAAGCGAGGATGAAGTGCTGAGCCTTTCAAACCTATTGTCAAAACCAAATTTGTGTCGGAATTCGAGAAATAACTGTCTTCTTGTGTGCTTGTCTCTTCTAGATTGCGTAATCTGCTACTACAGTCGATTAACCAAGTATCCGATTGGTCGATAACAAGAATATTTGTCACAGAATTCAGCTGTTTAGTTTCTCTGGATCAATGATGGACGAATCGATAAGATTTCTGTCTTCCTCTTGCTCGTTCACGTCCATGGACAACTGATTGTTGATCACTGGCCTCTGATGAGGCGTGCTTGTTTACGGGTTGAGCAAACTGAGAGAATAAAGCAGCATACTTGTTTCTCCGACATCGTGCTCTATTCATTCATAAATGCAAATACCATGATCCTGTTCAACGTTTTGCAATGTGCAACCTCTTTCCATATTTACCGTTACAGTTTCAAGGAGGACTGGATCGAACGCTGACGACATCACCACTACTATCCTCCGATCAAGAAGATCCCACATGCACGGCCGTTTGCGCGAACAGTCAGACAGAATCCGCATCACATTGTGCGCGATTAGACCACGCTACAACAGCCGTTGGCAAACTAACCGACGCGGGCGAGATTGACCGTCAAACAGATGAATCGTTCTGGCTCATTCGAGCTGCCCACTATGTTGCATGGGCGACTGAGTTCATTCATGGACCTCGAGGTATATGGCAATGGATTGCCTCACACGGGGATTGGGTAAGTCGAATGCGAGAATGTCAGATTGGTTGGCACTTTCCTGTGTACGTATCACTCTCTCTCTCTGTGCGTGTGTGTATATCTTATTTTAGTTGCCGCGGTGTTAACCATAGAATCGATAATCTCATCCCACGTTGTAGCCCGTTAAAAACCCACTGTATGTACCGCAGGCATTCAGTTCAGTTCAGTTTGTACAGCCATTAACCACGCATCTTCGTGCGCCGGTTTTGGTTGCTGTCTTTCTGCTGTCCATTTGGATGAAGAATAGGTGAAGAAAGGAAAGTTAAAGTGGAGTCGAACAGGAAATGGATAAGTTCACTGGTTTAAGGTTGCAAAGAAATTGAGATGCACGAACGCCACTGTTTGCCACACCCACTCATATTACTCAGTGTCTCTAACCATCAGTTACGACCATCCCGAGGTCCCGAGCCAGGAACCTGTGTGACCCAGACTCCTGGTTAGGGTTTTCATACTCTCGTGCCAGGTCTTAGCTTGACCACCCTTGGTTTTCTTCCACTCGGTATCTNTCTGCTTCGGCGAACATCGTTCGCCGTGGCAATCTATTTGGTGACATGCGTAACACATGTTCCACCCAACGTGATCTATGGAGGTCGACCACTTGCTCCAGTGGGCGACCGCGATTGCCTGAAACTTTGCGCCTGACCTCAGCATTGCTCATCCGGCTGGTGCGTGATTAAAGGGCGTTCACCTGATTGATATCATTGTCCTGAGTACAAACGCAGTCTTCATGCAGGTCTTATGTGCTAATACGGTACCGGTGACCTATCTATTCTGTTAAAAGTTTCCTCGCATATTTCGATCCGTTGACTGAAATTAAAAACACATTGCTGATGATTTCCAAATTGTATTTTGATCAATATCCGTAATCCCACCATGTACCTTAACTCGCTTCCCAAGTGAAGACGAAATAGGGCTCAATCGAACGGTCGGTAACACCAATTTAGCTGATCGGTTTAACAAACCATAGTAAGCTTAGAATGAATGTCTATTAGCCCTATTTATTGTTTGTAGCTCAAGTCCAGGTATCGTATTTCAGTTTTACTCCATTAAATAGTTTTGTCTGTAACTTCTCCCATCCGTTTTGTGTCCTAGGATGGTCTTATTGAATTCGAATCAGATCGGGGCCTTGGTGGAACACAACACGATCATCTCATGATCGGGGGGATGACGGAAGACGACGCGATGCGGTTGCTTCGTGGTGCACTGCGTAGTGTGACCACCTTGGCTGTGGGTGCAGTCGGCTTGGTCGGAGCGGTCGGTCTAGTGGCCGCGCTGCACTATCTGGCAAAACGCATCTAGTATCCGAGAGAAGCGTGTGATGTCAGCCTTGTTTGTGTTTCTCAAAATCCTCACTTCTTGAAACGTGGCCGTAGAAGAAGAAACCCGTCTCGGTGCTCAAATTATTCAATCTCCCGAATCCCTCCCCCCAACACATCTCATCATGCACTGAGTCAAATCTGAATTATTTCGGATCTCCAAAGTGCTGTTTCCCCAGTCTCTTTTTCAAGTACGTTCAATTGCCTGTTGTCAAACTTTTATCTCCTGCAAAACAAATCGTACTCATACATTACTGATCAAAAGCCCTACCTGGTGACTGATGGCGAATTTTCATCTCTCCTCAGGGTTGGTACTGTACCAGTAGAACATTTATTAAGCAACCCTGTAATGAGTTTGCTTAGATGCTGTTGTCTAAGTTGCCTTGTGGACAGTTTTGGCTCTTGACAACTCGGTTTTCAGTTCACTTTAGGCGCTCCGGCACATTCTCTGTCGCCTTGTATGTAACGCGAGCTTGAATTTCGCTTTAAATACACACTGTGCCCTTTCTAAGAAAATCGCCCTCAAAAAGTCAGCTAGCTAACATTCGGGTAGTTTCTTTTTGTATCAAACTCTGTGATCTCTTCATAAAGCTTATATTTTATTAAGGAGTCAACCAAAATGTAAGAAGCAAAAGTGGTTAAGCCGTGGCACGAGTGGAAGATTTTGTGGAAGGATCACAGGCGTTTAAGTTTCTACAACCATTATCACGCATCTTCGTGCGCCAGTTTTGGTTGCTGTCTTTCGGCTGCCCATTTGGAAGAACATTAGGGGAAAGACACGAAAGGCGGAAAGTAAAATCGAAGAGAAAAATTGAAAAGTTCAGTGGACCAATGATACAGAGAAATTGAGAAGATGCACGAACGCCACTGTTTGCCACACCCACTCATATTACTCAGTGTCTCTAACCATCGGTTACGACCATCCCGAGGTCCCGAGCCAGGAACCTGTGTGACCCAGACTCCTGGTTAGGGTTTTCATACTCTCGTGCCAGGTCTTAGCTTGACCACCCTTGGTTTTCTTCCACTCGGTATCTGCTTCGGCGAACATCGTTCGCCGTGGCAATCTATTTGGTGACATGCGTAACACATGTTCCACCCAACGTGATCTATGGAGGTCGACCACTTGCTCCAGTGGGCGACCGCGATTGCCTGAAACTTTGCGCCTGACCTCAGCATTGCTCATCCGGCTGCCCCACCAGGTTCGTGCAATGCTGCATAGATAGCGATGTTCAAACACCGACATTCTATCGTTGTCCTGTTTTCTTAATGGTCAAGATTCTGCACCGTATAGCAGGACTGGCCGAACTATTGCAGCATACACTCGACAGCCGAGTGTCGCGACGGCGCCACAAATGTCTCAAGTTGGCAAATGCCAATCGAGCCTTCTGTGTTCGAGCTGACACTTCTTCCGTGATGCGTCCATCGGGTGAGATGTAGCTGTCCAAATAACAAAACTTATCCACCTGCTCTATTACTTCCCCGGTTAGAGTGAGACTGGGTGCTGGACCAACCTAGTATTCTAGTAGCATTTTACATTTTGAAGGTGCAAAACGCATACCGAATATGGCTACGCTGGCATTCAAGTTATCCCGAAAAGCTTGCGACTTACCTGGATCTTCACTTAACAGCACAATGTCGTCTGCGCACTCTAGATCAGACAGTCTGCCTCATGGAAGTCACTCAATGCCACTATCCTCGCACGAGGATGGGGCTGGTTCCATAATCAGATTTATAACAAAGTTAAATAGAAAAGGGGAGAGAGGGCAACCTTGTCGAACACCACTTTCTGCGGTGAACTCGGGTGAAAACGTGCTGTAAGCCCGGACTCGGCTTTCGCTATGAGTATAGAGAGATTGTAGTATTGAAATAAACTTCTCGGGCACACCTTTTAGAGAAAGGCAGCGCCAGAGTTTAGAGCGGTCGACTGAGTCGAACCAGGAAGATGGAGATGGTGGGTTTGTGAAAAGAATGTCGATGCCCCAGAATTTGGCGGAGAGGGAAGATGTAGTCGATACAACTTTGACTAGGTCTAAAACCAGCCTGGTTCTAACGCGTGCGGTGGACAATGGATGGAGTGTGATACCAGCGAGAAGTTTAGAGGCTATGTTGATTGAACTAATTCATCTGTAGTTTTCACAAGAGGATCTATCACCTTTCTTGTAAATCTGTATGATGACCGATTCACACCATTCAGCTTGATCCTCTTCCCATTCCCATATTGAGCCCAGGAGTTTCGTCCACTGCAAGACTAACGCTGAGTTTCCATCCTTAAACGTTGATGGGAACAGCCCATCTGGGCCAGAGGCTTTATGCTTTTTGAGATAGCTTATTTCCCGGGAAACCTCCATCTCAGATGGGGGACTGGCTTTGAGTGGCAGAATTTGCGCAGTCGCGGTGGAGGTCTGTAGTTCATATATCGATGGGGGCCAGTTGAACTGAGCCAAGCGGTTCAAAGCGTTTTGGACTACCTGTGTTTGGTCACCCAGCAAAGCAATGTGATATCTTCCCTGGGAGGAGTTCGACTCCATGGTTTTGAAGCACCGAAAAAGCATTCTATAACAGCCTGTATGACAAAGTTGAAAGGATTGGTTACATATGGTAGCCTTGTCGAACTCCACTGGAGACGGCGAAGTGTGGCGAAAGTTGGTCATAGGCTCTAACCCGACTCGAGGATACAACTCTTTGAGGATCGAGAGATACTTCTCAGGTAATCCGTTCCTCAACAAACAGTTTTATAGTGTGGTCCTATGGACAGAGGTAAAGGCTGCGCGGATGTCTAAGAACACGATGCTAGTTGGTCTATGATAAGCATGACTGTACTCTAGCAGCTGTCGGAAGATGAGGATTTGATCGATGTATCCACGATCAGCGCGAAAATGAGCCTGCTCCTAACGTATTATGTACAATTTGCGGAGAATAACGGACGCCAACAGCTTTGACGCTATTGAAATTACGTTGATACCCCTATGATTGGTGCAGTCATTGCGCGGGCCCTTTTTGAAGATGGGCGTGCTTTGGACCCTATGTTCCGAGGTTCGAGCCCACCACCACCACCCAGCTCGTCCGGTTTAATACCACGGCTAACCTATCGGGGCCTTAGGTGGTTCGCCACTCCAAGTCACAGGACTTAGGTAGCCGGTTTCCACCACTGAACACCAGGTCTGACATTGGGGTTCACCTCGTCTGCTGTTCATCACACTTAGGTGTGTAAAAAAAATCGACTCTCCCCACGTGAAAAAGACCTGTTTGGTGTTCCAGACTTGAGAGAACGGAAATTGTAGTTCTCTAACAAGCTTTATTCCACTACCTTCAATAGGGCTGGAGGAAGGCCATCGGATCCCAGCGCTTTGTGACGTCCCAAGGCATACTAATGCGTGGTCAAATTCGAGGGGATTGATCCAGTACGATCGGCAGTCTTGAATGCAGTCCCACCATTTGTGGCTGACAGTGGTCCATGTGCGTCCGTCGCTGACTCGAGGGTGGGCGCCAAGTGGCGTACCGGCAGTTTAAGCGACTGAAGTTCGTACTGGCGAGGAACAGGCTGTGGTTGGAACATAGAGCCAACAGCCGCTTTCCG